CCCTTTGCATTAGAGGATCCATCCACAAACAATTCCAGGTCAGCCAAGGTCCTTCTTCAAGAGCTTGGCTAACGGGCTTGCTGAAGGTATACTCCACCAAGAAATTAGCCAGGGCTTGTGCTTTGATTACGGGCATTAGTTGATACTGCAAGCCAAAATCAAAAAGCTTGATAGTCCATTTAATCAGCCGACTCGAGGTCTCAGATTTGGTGAGGATAGACTTGAGGGGTTGGCTAGTCAAGATAGAGATGTTGCAACCTTGGAAATATGGCATGAGTTTCCTGATCGAGACCACCAGGGTGAAGGCTAACTTCTCTACCTCAGGGTAACGGGTCTCGACATCACAAAGGACCTCGTTGACATAGTAGATAGGCCTCTATACTCCACCTTCTTTTCTCACCAAAACGGACCTGACCGCATCATCCTCGTCCGAGAGGTCTAGGTACAACACATCTCTTGGAAGCAGGTCAAGTGAGCAGAGGGGGTGAGGCAAGGTAAGACTTCAGCTCGTCAAAGGCACACTGATACTCTTCAGTCCACTAGAAGTCCTTCAGTATCTTGATGGCTCGGAAGAGAGGTAGGTACAGGTCGGCCGACTTTGACATGAAATAGTTGAGGGCAGCCACTCAGCCGGTAAGTATCTGAGTTTCTTTGATTGACCGAGGTGGTGCCATGTCAAGGATAGCCCGAATCTTCTTTTGATTGGCCTCAATATCCCGCTACATGATGAAGAATCCTAGAAATTGCCTGAGGTGACGTCGAAGGCATACTTGCTAGGATTGAGCTTCATGTTGTATTTCCGCAGAGTGGCGAAGGTCTCAGCTTGTTCTGAGGTGTGTTGGTCAGCCTTTAGGCTCTTCACAACCATGTCATGTATGTAAGCTTCAACATTTCTCCTTATCTAGTGCTTGAAAACCTTGTTTACAAGCCATTGGTAGGTAGCTCTAGCATTCTTGAGGCCGAAGCGCATGACCTTATAGCAGTAGGAGCCATTTTCGATAATGAATGAGGTCTTCTCCTCATCCTCGACATGCATCTTGATTTGGTTGTATTCAAAGAAGGCACCCATGAAGCTTAGTAGCTCATACCCTATAGTGGTGTCGACGAGGTGGTCGATCCTCGAAAAAGGATGGTTGTCCTTGGGGCAGGTTCATGTCGAGATCTGTGAAGTCAATGCATATTTGCCATTTCCCATTAGCTTTCTTTACCATGTCCACATTGGACAAGCAGTTAGGGTAATATACCTTTCGAATGAAGCTGACGTCAAGTAGCTTGTCAATTTCCTCTCTAATGGATTTCTAACATTCTGGTGCAAAGTTGTTCTTCTTTTTTCGAACTAGCCTACAACTCGGATCCACACTCAGCCTATGAGTAATGACCAAATATTCAATTTCGAGCATGTCAACAACAGACCAAGAAAAGACGTCAGCATTAGTTTTGAGGAAACTTACCAATTCGAAAAGGGTGTCAAGAGGAAGGTTGGACCTTACGCGCACTGTCTTCTTGGGCTTGTCCTCATCCATGGGAACCAAGATGAAGTCCGCGGTTGGTTGACCTCAACTCACTGGCTCATCATTGAGGACGAGCCCCTCCAATGATAAAGCTTCCTTGTTGTTGCCCTTTAGTGCTGCCACATATTATTGTCAGGCTGTTTGCTGATCCCCACGAATGACTCCGATGCCATGCTCGGTGGGGAATTTGACGGTGAGGTGGTAAGAGGAGATGGCTGTCTTAAGTGCGTAAAAAGTTGGTCAGCCGATGATGGTGTTGTAGGGAAAGCCAATCTTCACGACTAGGAGCTCAGTCATCCTCATCACCTTCCGAGGCTCCGTTCCTACCGTGATTGGTATGGTGATTCTTCCCTTTGGTTTGATGACGTTACAAAGAAGCCAATGAGTGGCACGTCGGCCGTTTGTAGGCGATCTGCGAACAACTTCATTTTCTCGAAAGTATCATGGAAGAGGATGTCTACCAATGATCCGATGTTGATGAGGGTCCTCTTTGCCATGAAGTTGGTGATGGTCATCATCACCACCAATGCGTCATCATGGGGTACTGAGACCCCCTTCAGGTCATCGCCCGAAAAGGAGATGACTTCTTCTTTCTTCGGCTTTTTGGAAGCTGACCCCTGGATGGTGAGCTACCTGGCACAGGCCTTATGGGTTGAGGCCAAGGCTCCACCCGAGGCCATGCCCCCTATGACGTCAATGACACTAGATAGATTGTGTTGCTGCTGTTGTAAGGAGGAGTGGCTGTGGCGCATGAGAAACTCGATCTCATTCTTTAATATGTAGCAATCTTTGTGTCATGGCTGGTTTCACGGTGGTACTTGTAGTATTTCTTAGGATTGCACCTCTTGGGGTTCCTCTTCATCTTCTATGGCCACTTCATGTTCCTTCTTCCCTACTTGTATGAGTATTTTCATTTGGGTGGAGTTGAGTGGCGTATACTTGTTGTAGGTGAGGGCCGGCGGCTTCTTGTTGCCATCTTTATTGTTGTTTTTGTTGTTGTTGTTGCGGTCGTCTCCATTCTTTCTCTTCTTTCCTGAGTCCCCACGGTTATGGTTGGCCTCGCCTTCATGGTACTCGTCGGCAACGATGTTTATCTAGGCCTTCTTCAAAAACTCTGCCTTGGTTTTGGGTGGTGTCTTGGCAACAGAACACTTAAGGGGCCCAAGCAATAGGCCGTTGATGGTTGTGTGCATGGAGACCATGGGATCGAGGTCTCGGACCTCAAGCTCTTCTTTCTTGAAGTAGTCAATGCAGGACCACAGGCTCTCGCCACACCTCTGTCGCACGGACATGAGTGAGATGACGCTCTTCTGGCATCGCCAATTGCTGCTGAAGTGGGAGAGGAAAAGACTGGCGAACTGCTCCCACGAGCTAATGGAGCAGGGTGGGATCTCAGAGAACCATCGGCAGGCTACCCCCTTGAAGGTTTCTTGGAAAGTTCGGTACGTCAAAGTGTTAGAGTATCCATAGAGGAGCATAAGTGCTCAAAAGCTTTCTAGGTGGTCATCTGGATTAGTGGTTGTGTCATACATATCCAGTGTGGGGTTTTGAAGTTGGGTGTGAGGGGTTTCAAGGTGATGGCGTCGGTAAAAGCATCAATTTTATTGGACGAAGGGTTTTGGCTTACGGAACTCTCACCTCGGCTCTCCTTGACCTGTCGAAGTTCATCTTGTGTGGTGCTAATTTGAGCTTGAAGGTCAACGATCTTTAGGTCGATGGGGGCCTGGGCCTCATCCTGGTCCTCTCAAACGTGAAACGGGTCGGTCCTATTCCCCAAGTACTTTGATGTGGGTGCGTCTTGATTCCTTCTAGCACTTGGTAGTCGCCAGAGTGCCCGCCTTCGTCCCGGGGGCTTTCCATTTGGTAGTGTCAGTCGTGTTAGATCTCCTCCCTGTCGGCTGGGGAGGCTAGAGGTCTTCGACGACTAACTAGCATGTTGGCTGTTGTTGGACCCTAAGGGATCGACCCTGTTGGGTTTGACTGGGCATTGAACCAACGAAGCTTGGGAAGAGTGTTCGCTGTGACGCCCTAGGTTCCCAGCGGGGCGGCTACCCTATGGGTGGCCTCCTGTCAAGCACCCCACTTCGTCCGGTCATTGTGTAATGTTGTTGAGCCAATCGAGGACATCTTCAACTAGTCCATGGTGACTAGTATCAGCCATTATGTTGAAAGCTTAATAATTTGAGTTGAAGTGTTCAGTTGAGAGAAATCTTACCAGTCATTTCCCAGAGATGACGGCAATTGTTGCTGCCTAAAATGGATAAAGAGCAATAATATAAATTCACATATATTAGTCGAGGGCTTATTGATTTGTTCAAGGGCTGATGGAAATGAGGGCCTATAAGTTCAACTTATGGAGGAAGAAGTACGTCAGAAACCTCGGATGTTATCCCAGTGCGGAGACTCCGACGTAAAATTAGCAAAAGAGTGGCAGAGAGAGGACAGGCGAGGCCCAAGTATAGTAGCTCAGACGAAGTTGTTCGCCTATGTCACCTTCCTAATTATTACTTCGTTGGTCCTATTCTCAGTTCAACACCGGAACCCACGCGGTGTAATTGATCTGGTCCATATAGCCAAGTCAACACGCAGTTGACCCGACTGAACCTAATTAATATGTTAATGACGTTGGAACTTAGAAATGAAAATGTGGTTACAAGCTTTGAGGCAATTGGTTATGGACTTCATCTCAAAAGTAAACCTGGAAGAAAAACAAGAAACTCAAAATAGTGAAGTGGCTCTACTAGAAATAGGCGAGAGAGCATGGCCGATCAGAGTTAATCAATTCCCAATATCGTCTTGAACCTTCAGCTTTTTCACTCCATACGCTTCCAACCTTTCTATTTTCTATCAGTCTACCTAGCTATTTAATTAATTTGCCAAATTTTCACCCTCACACATACAGTCCTTTTCTTCTTTCTGCATGTTAGCACACATCCCATCCCAAGTCCCAACCGCACGTTCTATTCACCTCAATTATCAAACAAAACTCAAATACAAAAAATAAAAAATCTTATTTCTTGATTAGCAGCCATGACCATACCCATATTAGAACAACACTACTCTTTCCTGATTGTATCGGCTGTCTGGGTTCTCTTAGTTGTTTCGATATCAGAAGCAGGAACATGGTCAGAAAGTCAGGCTCTTGTTCGATGGAAAGCCAGTCTCCGAAGTCGAGATACACTGGGGACGTGGACTATGACGAAAAATCCCGACACAAGTACCGATTCAAGCCCATGCAACTGGCTTGGAATAACGTGTAATGCGGCCGGGAGCGTAATCCAGCTAAGCCTGACCAGTGCGAATATAAGTGGTACTCTCAACAACTTTGGTTTCTCTTTGCTACCCAATCTTGTTCATCTCGATCTTAGTAATAATGATCTCGATGGACTCATCCCCAACTAAATTGGCACACTTACGAAGCTCACCCACCTTGATCTCTCTTCGAATTATCTTTCTGGTGTTCTTCCTCTTTCCTTGGCTAATCTCACCATGATTAATTTGCTCTACATCCCTTACAATCTGATATCTGGTGAATTAGACCCAAGATTGTTCACAAATTGGACAAAACTAATTAACCTTGGGCTTCAAAGCAATAATCTTACGGGAAGAATCCCACCCCAGATCGGACTCCTTTCGAATCTCGAAGAGCTAGCCCTCCTTGAGAACCAATTTGTCGGTTTTATACCGTCTGAAATTGGAAACCTAAAGAATTTGGTTGGATTGGCTTTAAGCAGCAACTATCTTATTGGTCATATACCTCCATCTTTGGGTAATTTGAGCAATTTAAGATCTTTATACCTCGATAGTAATCAACTCTCTGGAACAATTCCTACCAACATTGGTACATGGAGAAAATTAGTTGGATTACTCCTACTTCAAAACTATCTGTCTGGATCAGTACCTCAAGGAATAGGAAACCTCTCATCTTTGGTTCATCTCCACCTTAGGGACAACAATCTTTCTGGTCGCTTACCGCAACAAGTTTGTCAACGTGGACTTCTACAAACGTTCACTGCATCTAAAAACCACTTCACTGGTCCCATCCCAATAAGCCTGAGAAACTGCACAGGCTTAATCCGTCTACGACTTGATCTGAACAAGCTTATAGGAAATATAGACGAACACGTTGGAGTATACCCAAACCTCACTCATCTTGATCTTAGCGACAACAGATTACAAGGAGAAATCCCACCCAACTGGGGGGGTTTCCAAAATCTAATGCTGCTAAACCTCTCTAGAAATATGATCAGTGGGAGAATACCACCTGAGCTTGGCCAGTTAGCTCAACTAAGGGAATTTGATCTCTCTTCAAATCAACTTGTTGGAGAGATACCAAAGCAACTCGGAAGACTTCCTGCTTTATTCTTTCTGAGCTTAAGAGACAACCAACTTTCAGGCCAAATACCGCTTGAAATTGGAGAACTATCTAACCTGAAGTACCTAGACCTCTCAACAAACAAGTTGGTTGGGCAGATCCCAGAGCTACTAGAGGATTGCAGCAAACTAGAGTATTTGCGCTTGAGCAACAATTATTTGAACGGGACTATTCCATATCAGATTGGAAATCTGGTATTTCTTCAGTCACTGGATATTAGTAAAAACTCACTCACCGAAGAGATACCAACACAGTTGGGAAAGCTAGTTGTGTTAGAAAAATTAAACCTGTCCCACAATGAGCTCAGAGGTTCCATTCCGTCGTCACTCAGTAATATGATTTCTTTGTCCAGTATTGATTTTTCGTACAATAATTTGGAAGGTCCTATTCCTGATAGTGATGTCTTTCAACGGGCATCAGAGGCGGCATTCATCAACAACAAAGGCTTATGTGGTGAAGTAAAATTTTTACCTCTGTGCAATCCATCTCCTCGTCATAAGAAAGAAGACAAGAAATTTGTTTTGGTTATTGTTGTTTCTCTCTTGGCAGCACTGCTACTTGTGTTTATACCTGTTGCTATCTTCTTCCTATGCAATAGGAGGGGACAAGAAAAAGGCGAAAGCGCTTCAAACAGGGAAGATATTTTTTCATTACTGAATTTTGATGGGAAGATTGTCTATGGAGACATCATTGACGCCACAGAAGATTTCAACAGCAGCTACTGTATCGGGGTAGGAGCAACTGGATGTGTTTACAAAGCAGAGCTAGCAACTGGTCACGTATTAGCAATAAAGAAGCTTTGTCCCCATGAAGAAGAAGAAGTAGAGAGGTTGAAATGTTTCAGGAATGAGATACAAGTGTTAACAGAAATTCGACACCGAAACATCGTGAGATTTCATGGTTTCTGCTCTCACCAACAGCACAAACTTCTGGTGTATAAATATATGGAAAGGGGGAGCTTGGCAAATATGTTGAGCAGTGAAGAAGGAGCAAGGGAGTTAGACTGGGTGAAGAGGATTAATGTGATTAAAGGTGTAGCCCATGCTATGGCTTACCTGCACCATGATTGCATTCCCGCCCATAATCCATCGAGATATATCAAGTAAAAACATTTTACTGGATTCAGAACTTGAGGCTCACGTCGCTGATTTTGGCACTGCTAGATTTTTAAAGCCCACTGATTCATCTAACTTGACGATGCTTGCTGGAACTTATGGATATATGGCTCCAGGTAACTAAACTATCTCTATTCATTTGGGATTTGATACTCAAAATCTATCATTAATAGATTAATTAGAAACCGAAACTTCAATCTCATTCTGAATCATTATTAATTTGTTTCTGTGTTTTGAATGCAGAACTCGCTTACACCATGATTGTGACCGAGAAAAGTGATGTTTATAGCTTTGGCGTATTGGCACTAGAAGTGATAATGGGCAGACATCCAGTGGAGATTATCTCCACCTTGTTGTCATCAACTGCTGATCAAACTATATTGCCAAAGCACATATTAGATCCACGGCTCTCTACTCCCACAACTCAGCAGGTTTCAGACCAATTGGATTCGATTGTGAAGCTAGCATTTGCATGCTTACATGCTAATCCGCAATCCAGACCAACCATGCTGAATATGTCTCAGGAACCATGTTTCCGTCCATGATATTCAAGGATGTAGTTAGTAATAAACTAATAAAGATATGTTTTGTTTTTGGAAAATGGAAAGCCAATGGTTTATGATTAGGATTTTATAGGTATATTTTCGTACTATATTTATGCTTTCCATTTAAGTCCACTGATATGTTGTCATGAAATGGGATCACCTTTGCCATTCTCAATATAAAAAGGTCTCATTGAAGTGTTTCTTACGGTCTCCATTAAAAAAAAAAAAAATTGGAAAATTAATGGACTTGGCGATTATACAATTCAATGGTCTTTACTACCAAAAAAAAAAGTCTTTACCCCATAAACTGAAGTTGCTTGCCGTAAGTCTACTGATATCTTTAGGGACATGGTTTTCAAAACCGAACCAGACCGGATGGTCGGACCAGAAAACCTAGGAACCGGTCATTCTGTTTTTCCCAAATTCGCTTTTTTTCTCAAAAACCGTTGATTTTTATCAGCCAACCGCTGAACCGGCTGGTTAATCGTTCAAACAGTTTTGACCATTTTTCAATTTTTTTAAAAATTTTTTTATTTTTTCGTCAGAATGGTCAGACCATTCAAATCGGTAACCAGACCCGTGACAAGTTCGGTCACTGAGTCGGTTTTAAAAACCATGTTTAGGGATACTTAAAACGATCTGTCCAGGCTGCTCAAATCGAACTCGCTTTTTTCATCCAAGCCTGAGGGTGCCTATGACATTCTCATAAAAAATAATAAATGAAATTTAAATTAAACAAATTACTTTTATAATTAACAAACATTTATTAATTTAAATTAATTGTATATTTTCATTCAAAACATTTTAAATGGTGCATGAATGGATTTTAAGTTATAATTTTTATTTATAACAAAATTTAATAGTTAATATGAGATTTAATTAAAAATCAAATAGTATTTAAAAGATTATATAGTTAATGGTTAATTTTTATTAAATTTAATATTTTGAATGGAATTTAAAAAGATTTCGAATTAATCAGGATTATATCAAATTATTCCTAGTAATTTAATTTCATATAATAATTCTACTTTATTTTAATAAATATATTTTATTAACTCATAATAATATTGATTATTTTAAATTTTAAGTTTTCAAAAGTATTTAAAAGCATAAATACCATTTTTTAATGGAATTTCATTTAAAATTTAAAATATTTAATGTTTAAGTTAACTTTTTATTATAACTACAAAATATAATTAATTATTCTTAATTTTCTAAAAATAATAATCCGCTTTATATGGAATTTATTTTTATTATTAAATTATAACTTTTAATCATAAATTATATTTAGTTGGAATTTTTATTGTATTGATTTTTGAATTATAACTAAATTGAATTTAATATTTTTAGTGATAATTTAATATTAATTAATAATTATTACAAATGAAATTTAAAACTTATAATTTTATTGTGCTGACATTTATACTATTCTCGCACTTAAATCCTGCTAATTAGGGAATTGGATGTATATCCTTATGTGTTTCTATATATTATGTAATGCAATTTAAAAAGATTCAGTGGAGAGATGAAGTTTTGCCCTTAAAGCTCGCTCCTTTGGTATTTACTGTGCTATGGATGTACAGATTCACACTTTTATGAGAACTTATATTCTCACTCCATGGTCATGATTGTAAGTGGATTAAGCCCCCAGTGAGTCTTGTCAAAATTAACTTTGATGGAGCTATATACGCTTCTCACTCAGTGTCAGTGGTAGGAATTATAATCCAATATCACAATGGCTCTATGGTTTGTGCTTGTGCTATATTACATTTTCTCGTACCTGAGCACGAGTGACTGGCCTATATTACATCAAAACCCAAACCCAAGGAGAAAATTGGATATCAGAAAAACTCACAGCAATCAATTGATATCATAAAAGAGATGAACAATGCAATCAATCAGGTGGTATTAATCAAATTTCATGGAAGTATTTTAATTGGTCAAAGCTCCTTTGGTACCATGTATTTCATGTATCATAGATTTTCATGGAAAAAATTATGGCATATCCTATCCCACCTTACAAATTTCTACTTATTCTTTACTAGTTTTATTTTGTAAATAGAAAGTTTCTATCACCATGCTCCTTGCTCAGAATGGCAGCGTTGCCGGCCATGTCAATCAATTGACCTGATTGAACAATTGAACCTAATTAGTTTCGAGAGGACCCGGTTGAACTACGGTGTTCCCAACCATATCAATCAATTGACCCGACTGAAGAACCTAATTGATTTGATTTGTTAACAACGTTGAAAATTAGAAATGAAAATGGTTAGAAACATCGAGGCAATTGGTTATGATCGAGCTTTGAATTAACCATTCTGGGTGAAGAAATCAAGAACGATGCATCCAGGAAGGTTATTCAATTGACCCTATTGAACCTAATTTGTCAAAGACAACGTTGGAACATGGACCATGGAAATGAAAGTGATTAGAAAGAAATCTAGGTAATAGGTTATATGGGCATTAGGGGCGAAATAACTAGAAACACGAAGCACAACCCCGTTACCGAAAACAAAGCCAAAACCTAGCCATGACCTCATCACAAAAATACTCTTCCCTAGTTGTCTCCATTGTTTGGGCTCTTTTGGTTGTTTGGAAATCCGAAGCTGGAATACAGTACTCAGAAAGTCAGGCTCTCCTTCAATGGAAAACCAGTCTCCGAAGTCAAGATTCACTCGGGACGTGGAATATGACCGCCCCCCATCCCAACACCACCGCCGATTCAAGCCCATGCGACTGGTTCGGAATAACTTGCAATGCCGCCGGGAGCGTAACCCAGCTAAACCTGACAAATGCGAATTTAAGTGGTACGATCACCAACTTTGATTTCTCTTTGCTACCCAACCTTGTTCGTCTTGATCTTAGTTATAACGATCTCCACGGCACCATCCCAGACCAAATTGGCACACTCTCGAAGCTCACCCACCTTGATCTTGCTTGGAATCATCTTTCTGGTGCTCTACCTCTTTCCTTGGCCAATCTCACCATGATTTATTGGCTCTACATCCCTTACAACCTGTTATCTGGTGAACTAGACCCAAGATTGTTCACAAACTGGACAAAACTGACTTTCCTTGAGCTTCGGACGAATGGTCTTACGGGAAGAATCCCTCCCCAGATCGGTAGCCTTTCGAGTCTCCAAGAGCTAGGCCTCTTTGAGAACCAACTTAGCGGTTTTATACCGTCTGAAATTGGAAACTTGAAGAATTTGGTTGCGTTGCGTTTAAGAAGTAACCATCTTATTGGTCATATACCCCCATCTTTGGGCAATTTAAGCAATTTAAGATCTTTATACCTGGATGTCAATCAACTCTCTGGACCAATCCCTACCAACATTGATACATGGAGAAACTTAGTTGAACTACACCTAGTTCAAAACCAACTATCTGGATCAGTACCTCAAGGAATAGGAAACTTCTCATCTTTGGTTCATCTCCATCTTGACGATAACAACCTTTCTGGTGACTTACCGCAACAAGTTTGTCAACATGGATTTTTGAAAACATTCACTGCATCTAGAAACCACTTCACTGGTCCCATCCCAATAAGCCTCAAAAACTGCACACGCTTAATCCGTTTACAACTTGCTCAGAACCAGCTTATTGGAAATATAGACCAAGATCTTGGAGTATATCCAAACCTCCAGTATTTTGACCTCAGCCAAAACAGGTTGCATGGAGCAATCCCACCCAACTGGGGAAGTTTCAAAAATCTACTGCTGCTAAACTTCTCTAGAAATATGATCAGTGGGAGAATACCACCTGAGCTTGGCCGGATAACTCAACTAGGAAAGCTTGATCTCTCTTCAAACCAACTTGTTGGAGAGATACCGAAGCAACTCGGAAGATTCCCTGCTTTATTCTTTCTGAGCTTAAGTGATAACCAACTTTCAGGCCAAATACCGCTTGAAATCGGAGGGCTATCTAACCTGAGATCCCTAGACCTCTCAACAAACAAGTTGATTGGGCAGATCCCAGAGCAACTAGGGGATTGCAGAAACCTAGGTTATTTGAGTTTGAGCAACAATTATTTGAACGAGACTATTCCAGATCAGATTGGAAATCTGGTGTCCCTTCAGTCACTAGATCTTAGTAAAAACTCACTCACAGGGGAGATAACAAGACTGCTGGGAAATCTGGCTAAGTTAGAAGAACAAAACCTATCTCACAATATGTTCAGAGGGTCCATTCCGTCTTCACTCTGTGATACGAAAGCTTTGTTCAGTATTGATTTTTCGTACAATAATTTGGATGGCCCTATTCCTCAATGTGGTATCTTTCGTGTGGTACCAGAGATGGCATTCATCAACAACACAGGGCTATGTCGTCGTTTGAGCTTTTCGTTCGATGACTGCAATCATTCCCCCCATAAGAAAGAAGACAAAAAACTACTTGTCCCGATTATTGTTGCTTCTTTCATGGAAACACTGTTCCTTGTGTTTGTATTTGTTGCTATCTTGTTCCTATACAATAGGAAAAGATGGAGGAGACCAGAGAAAGAAGAAAGCGATTCAAACAAGGAAGACATTTTTTCATTGCTGAATTTTGACGGGAAGGTTGCCTATGAAGAAATCGTTGATGCCACAAATGGCTTCCACTGCGGCTACTTCATTGGGGTAGGAGGAACTGGATGTGTTTACAAGGCAGAGCTACCAACTGGTCATGTATTGGCAATAAAGAAATTTTATCCCCGTGAGGAGGAAGGATTAGAGGACATGAAATGTTTCAGGAATGAGATACAAGTGTTGACAGAAATACAACACCGAAACATTGTGAGATTTCATGGTTTCTGCTCTCATCGACTGCACAAATTTCTGGTGTACGAATATATGGAAAGGGGGAGCTTGCAAAATATGTTAAGCAGCAGAGAGGGTGCAAGGGAGTTAGATTGGGTCAAGAGGATTAACGTCATTAAAGGTGTAGCCAAAGCTTTGGCTTACCTTCATCATGATTGTGTTCCACCCATAATTCATCGAGATATATCAAGCAAAAACGTTTTGTTGGATTCAGAACTTGAGGCTCACGTCGCTGATTTTGGCACTGCAAGATTTTTGAAACCCACTGATTCATCTAATTGGACAATGCTTGTTGGAACTTGTGGATATATGGCTCCAGGTAACTGATTAAACCATCTCTGTTCATTTGGGGTTATATATGCAAAATCATTAACAGATCAGAAACCCAAACTCCGATCTCATTCTGAATCATTATTTATACATCTATATTTTGAATGCAGAGCTCGCTTACACAATAATTGTGACCGAGAAATGTGATGTTTATAGCTTTGGCATTTTGGCGCTAGAAGTGATTATGGGTAGGCATCCAATTGAGATTGCCACCATTTTGTCATCAACTACTGATCAAACTATACTGCCACAGGACATATTGGATCCCCGACTCTCTACCCCTACAACTCAGCAGGTTTCAGACCAACTGGATTCAATTCTGAAGCTTGCATTTACATGCTTACATGCTAACCCGAAATCCCGACCAACCATGCTAAATGTGTCTCGGGAACCATTTTTGTGTCAGTAAGAATATCCGAGAAACTAATATACTAATAAACATGACTTTTTTTTTTGGGGGAAACTGAATAAAGACATGGATTAGAAGTAGATTTTCGCACTATAGTCTTTCTAATTAAGTGTTTCTTAGAGTCTTCAATAAATAAATTGGGAGAATTAATAGACTTGGTGATGATACAATTTGGAAGTAATTTGGTGATGATACAAGTTTTTGGCCTCATTGTTTTAAAAGACTTAAGCCTTGAGGCGTGAGGCTTATGACTTCAAGCAAGGCACAAAGATTTTGATGTGAGATTTAAGCCTTTGTCATAACAAGGCCCCTCAACCCTCAAGACGTGAGGCATAATATATAAAAGAATCATTTCAATAATTATGAGCCAAATAAATAAAAAGAGTAAAAATGAAAAATCAATGGTGAAATCAAGGTCTTTTAGTTTTTCTTAGTTCAATGCAAAAAGGACTAATCAAGTTCTTAGTTTCTTGGATATATCAAGCGATTTTTCTTATTATTCTAAATCAAACATCCCAAGTTTGTTATGTTTTTCATTTCTTTTCCTAATGAATTTGTTTTATTTTTATTGATTTTTTTCATAGATCGAATTAACTAAGTTATTTTCTTCTTATAAACTATTGAATGACCATAAACCTAATACTCACTTGTATGAATGCTGCAATTTTAAATTATATGTAATACTGTAATGGTGGTAAGGGCATTTTTATAATTTTAAACTATTGAATGACCATAAATCTAAACTATTCTTATATGACAATGGCTCTTTTGCCTAGGGGTGAGCATTTGGTTTATTCGATTAAAAATTTAACCAAATAAACCGAATTACAATAAAATCAAAATAATCCAACCAAAATTTTTGTTCATTTTTTGGTTATTTAGGTTAAAAACTGAATTTAATTAATATATATAATATTATATTATAACCTATAATATATATTATTATAATATATATTATGAAATTTGATTTCATTATAATACATTATATGTAATACATTAATATATAAATATATAGCATATTATATATTATATATTATATAATAAATTTTAGCTAATTTGATTTTTCGGTTAATTGAAGTTCTAAATCTGAAAACCGAAACTGAAACCGAAATTTTTGGTTCAATAATTTAGCTTTAACCAAATAATGCTCACCCCTACTTTCCGCCGTCATTTATCTCTTCCGCAATGGTGAAATCCCTCATGCCCATAAAAACGATGCTGCAGTTGAAGATTATTCTTCTAATTCTTTTAAGCCTTCCTCAGCATTATATTTGAATAATAATTTGTAATGATAATATCCCATCTTCGTCAAACATGAGAAAGATAGCAATCTGCAGAGGACAAGCCATGGCTTCCACTTTGAATGCCATTAAAGTATTAACTCTTGAAGCAAAAAAAAAAAAAAAAACTAGTCTATTAACTCTTCCTTGTTTCTAGCTAAATTTTTTTTCTACATCTCCCTCCTTCTAAATTAGAACAATATTTGCTCAACTCAGACAACCCCCTTGGCCTATCCAAAGGCCAACAACCACACCAGTCCCCCTCAAATCACAGAGAAGTTCAACTAAAACAAAACCGATATCTCCCAAATTTTATTGTTTCTTTGCTTTACCTGAATAAAGGAAATATTGGAAATATGTCATAACCAGATTCCTCAAAAAGATAAAATACAATGATGGCGTTTTACATTGAACCATGTATTATAGGTGACTGTTACATTTTGAAAACTGTGATAAAAAAGTGTAAAGTTTTACATGGATAAAATCAATGCAGTTTTTACATGGAGTATGTAAAACTTTATGCTTGATGAGATTTTACATCGATTCACAATGTAAAACTCCACTTCATCCAAATGTCAATAAATCTAAACCAAAGTGGAGTTTTATGTCGATCACAATTACGCATTCCTTTCAAACACTTACAAAACCGAACCGATGTGATTTTACATCGGTTCTTGATTTACATTACTTCCAAATGCCACCTAAGGGAGGTTTTTATTAAGATCAAAACCTAGGAAAGATTTATATGATTATGAGAAAATATAGGAGAGGTTTTTATATTTTACCCAGAAGGGAAGGCTTGACATAATTTTAAGGAAAATTTTCAGTTTAGTACCCTAAAGTTAGTACCTAAACTTTAAAACATGTCATTTCGTATCCAAATTTTCAAAAACTATTAAATCGAGAAAAAAACAAAACAAGAGAAAAAAAAAATCAAACCCAGTGTTACTAATAAAGTAGATTAAACCAATGGACGTGTAGATGAAGAATCATTCTCTTTGAACTTTTGAGAGTTGGGAAATCACCAAAAGAGTTGCTTCGGTGTAGGGTTTTCCTTGGAGATGGAAAATCACAAATGAAGTTCTGTTCTGTTTTGATTTGAATCCTGTACAAGTAAATCTCTTGGGAAAAACCAACGGGTTTACCTATAAGTGGTCCTCCCTTCTTAATCCTAATTAGCTTATTAATTGACTTGGACCAATAAAAAATCGTGAAAAATCGTGGGAGGACGAATTCGTCCTTCCTGGAATGAACCAAGAAAAATATCTAGGAATGCCTCTATTTATCACAAAAAATAAAAAGTTGGTTTATGGGGATGTGATCGAAAGAGTACGATCCAAACTGAGTGACTAGAAAGCTAACTGGTTGTCACAATTCACAAATGGGTCGCACAGTTTTGCTTAGCAGTGTTCTCTCTTCCTTGCCATATCCTATGTGATGTCGGTTAATGGTGGGTGTGTGCAGAAGTGGAAAAGTTAATGAAAAACTTTTTTAATAATGGGAAACATGGGTATGGAAGTGACATGGTGCGGAATTGTACGTGTTCTCCTATCTTAAGTATGGAGGGAGTTTAGGGATCAGGAGAATGAAGTATATGAATTGTGTAAGGTTGGATGGCGGATTTTGACTGAGAATGCGGACTGGGTTCGATTACTTAAACAGAAATATTTCAAGCCCTGTAATTTCTGGGAAGCTAATGCATTAAGCAGTGCTTCGTGGTTCTGGAAGGGAGTGTATAAGATTCGACGCTATTAAAACTGGGATGTTGCTGGATCGGATTAGGTGGCTCAGGTTTTGGAAGTTGCCGCTATACTCTCGCACCCAGCTTTTTCTTTGGAAGATTTTTCATGGTTTCGTTTTTACAAAAATGGTGGGGCGATAGTATTGACAGAAGCTGTGGGCTATGTGGCAATGCATTGGACACATTGAATCATTTATCCAACAGAGTGGAGGGGGGCTCGTAGAGTATCCTGCAGCTGGAGACTACAATAAATTCTATATATTTGATGGGGCCTTTAAACATGGTAAAGGTGCTGCAGCATGTGTGGGGTTGTGGGGGTGGATGCATGGCAGATTCCAGTGTGCAAAATCTGTGTCAGTGGAGGCTGCTGATGCTGAAACTTGTGAGATAATGGGTTTGTTATAGGCCATCGAGTTGCCAAGTGGTGATATCGTCCATGACTGTTGAGGCCAGGGAAGCACCATGGCGGTGAAGGAATGAGGAATCTGTTGATAGATGCCTAGCACATGGTTCACTTCGTATATTCCCCGGATCCTTAATGTCTTAGCTCATAAGTTAGCTACTTTGTCACTGCATTTCAATTTGTATGGAGACTGGGTGGAACACCCTCTAGCTTTGTATTTCTTTTATCCTACTTAATTAATGAAATTTTACTCGCAGTGAAATAAAAATGGATTCAGATTAAATTTAAATCTAAACCGATATTTCAGATCATATTCGATTTGATTTGAATGCTGCTAATTTAATCCAAAACCAACCCGATTACAACAGCTCTACTAGAAAGGTCCAAGGGTCTCCTTTGCCAAAATCTTGAACCAAATGACACATCTCAAACTCCAAGACTAGGATAGTGATGCACAACTTGAAAAAACAGGGTTGGAGTCTCATATTTAACTACCTTAGTGTGAGAATGACCCAATCCAACCCGGAAAAAATTGGGTCGGGTTAGGTTGGGTCATGGGTTAACCTGCCAACCCGATTGTCAGGTCTAATTGAGATTATTTATGTATTGTTAGAAATTTCTGAATCTTTACTATTTAGTCTTTACACTTTATCATTTATTCTTTGAATTGTTGAATTCTCCAAGTTTTTTATTTTATTTTTAGAATTTTAAGGTTAATTCCTTTAATTTTGGCATTTTTTCTGTATTTTTTTTTTAATTTTCAATTATTTTTAGGAATGACCTGAATTGACCACCCATGGGTCAACTCTAACCCAAACAATTAGGGTTAGGGTCTAGCATTTGCCAACCCAACCTGAAAGATAATCCGACCCAAAACCAACCTAAATTGTCTTGATTGCAGGGATTCCTTAAATTTTATTTTTTAAAAAATAATGTTAATTAAAATCCACCCTGTTGCCATGTTTTTGCCAAATGGACGTAGGCATTCTTCCAAGGAAATCTTGGACCTCTTGATATACATTTAGGAGGCATTCTTGTTTTAAATTTTGAGAGGGGGAAAGTTGGTCAATGAGATTTTGGTTCCCATTGACCAAGAATCTCATGGTTCCTTTTTCAGAATTATGTGGGGATTAGGGAAAGTTTATTTTCCTGGGTATTCCATCTCCTAGGTGGGTAAATAATAAATTTCCCACCTGAAGAAATTGCCAATAGTGAATGGACAAAAATGCCCCTTTTAATAATGAATTTTTATGACTAAAATAATCATTACCTTATTTACTTGAAAAATAAAAGAACATGGATAAATGTACCTACCCGGGTCAGTGTTTTCCAAGAAAAACTTACCCAGATAAGTAACTTGCGAAAAGCAGACGGGCGTTAGTACATTTTCCCACTGAATCTGTTCTGTAATGGATGCATAAATAGGCAGATAATAGACAACAGAAGATATTCAATACTCCATAAAGGTCTCGCAAGCCCAATTATTATACATAACCATGCATGACGTGGAAAAATACCGATGCTTCAAACACAGGTCAAGAATAACTTATTTTCTGCAGAATGGAAAATTCAATTACAATGCAAGATAACCAGCTCCACAGCAACATTAGTTAGCCCTGAA